TGCTTGGTATTATCATAATGTTTGTCTAGTTCCATTCAATTTTCGACCATTTTCCTTATAACAATCCGTTTCGTTCCACAGAAACAGTGTATTGCCGTTCCAGGTGCAACTCCACGATTATACTTCTCATTTTTCATTTCTTTACGCAAATAGTTCCATACATTGAATATGATAACACTTTGCTTTGGAGGCACAATAATCACAAAAAAATGATCATCTAAAAAAATATTGCTTTTTATCCTTTCTGATTGTTTGAATTAATCCACAATTTCATTTCTTCAGAAATTAATACTGTTCTGGATCAAAACAGCATGGTAGATAATTAGATTTTTACAATGCTTCTAAACCTAAATAATATCATTTACAATGCTTCTAAACCTAAATAATATCATTTACAATGCTTCTAAACCTAAATAATATCATTTACTTCTTAAATATATTCCATACATTTACAAAACACCACAACAGATATAGATCTATCTACAGTTGTTCAATCCTTCGGTCTCCTCTCCTACGACCTAGATAGAATCCAACAATAGTATTTACAGACTAGGTTTTGCAAAATATTTAAATTTGCTGTATAATTAGGTAACCAGGTTAGCCAATATCGATATTAAGATAGTTCTTATCGGAGGAATTGAAAGATATTATGAATGTCGCAAAGTGAAAACCTGAAACTAAAAAGGGAGTACTATAGCAATAGCGATACTATGGCATTCTTTTATTATGGTAATTATAGCAAGGGTATATCAGTACAATCGAACAAAATTAATTCTAATAATGTTAAATACGAGTGCCGGATATTTCACTTTCAGAAACAGACTTATTAAATTCTTATAAACCCATTTCTGAAAATGAAATTTAGGAGAATCAAAAATTTCAGGAAGAGTTTCAACAACTCTGATCTAGGGTTCTTGTCTAGAGATGCAGTAGAATTGTCCCAATGATATTCGGCACACTGCCGTAACTTGCCGTAATTATAGCAAGTAATATAGTAAGTTACGGCATTATAGCCGTAACTTACTATACTACTTGCTATAATTACGGTAAATTACGGCAGTGTGCCGAATATCATTGGGACAATTCTACTGCATCTCTATTCTTGTCACATCACAATCGCAGACTAGAAGATGGATAACAATATAATTGTTGAGGTATCGATCTTTACTTTCCTAAAAACTAATAGGCATTTCTATCCAAATTTCGAAGAAAACTTTTATAATTATTTTTCGCTTATTCGATATAATTATTAGATTTAACATATCGCTTTTATTCAGCATATCCTGTCTGGTCGTTAAATCATTTAATTTTCTTAATCTAAAAATGAAATTCAGTTTTTAGCAATTTTATAGCCTGATTTAACAAATTTGATTGGTTTCTGAGTTTGACGCTTGACTAAAAAATGTGGGGTTTGTTCACTATCCCAAATGAAGTAGAAATCCTGATTCCCAAACACCAAACCATGTAGTATTCAAAAAAAAAAAAAAAAAAAAAGGTTTGGGCCGTAACCCTACTTTAAAGATTCCAGCTTTTTCTCGAGAACCGTTCGTTCAGTCTAAAAAATAGATATAATTAAAATAAATTAAGAAAATTTTACCAAATAGATCAAATGAACTGATACCTGTAAAGCTCTACATAAATTTTCTAATTTTGCTTGTTTTTTCATTGCATCATCAATAGTCTTTTGATCTCTAGTTCGCTATCATACAGCAAATACGACAAAATTTTGTTCGTAACGTTTTTTGTTTTTTTGTTAGCACCTCCCCTTGCATGTAAGTTAAATATGCAAAGAATAAATATAATCTCATGAAACATTATATTTGCACATAAATATTATCCTAATAGTTAATGTCCTATGTATTATTATCCTTTTGAGGGAAAGTTTTAAACGAAAGCATACCTCTTCCGCCATTTCTAAAATATTTTTATTCATCGTATCACATTTTCCTTTTATAGCCGAATTTTCCTTTTCAAGTTTCTTTGTCTTTTTGGTCATCTGGTGTAACAAACGCCTATAAGAGAAATATCAATATATCTTTTAATCGCAAATAATTGTAAAACAAAATAAACAAACCTGTTCCATTTCTTTACGAAAAGTCATAAAAAGCTCATTACTTTTATTTAAAGTTTCCTCCACTTGTTTAAATTTATCAACATAAATGTTGAGTTGTTTACGTAACTCAATCTCAGTTTTAGTAAATGTTTCCACTTGGCTTTTCAAAGAATTAACCTATAATTAAACGAATTTGATGAACTAATCGTACTAGATAGACTAATATCAAAAAAAGAATCAATTTAAATAACTTACTTTGAGTGTCTCTTGTTCGGTCAATTGTTTTTGTTGTTGTAACTTTGCTTCATATAATTGCAATTCCAAATCTTTGGATCGAACGACGCTATTAAAATGCTTTTCCCGGAGCTCATATTGTTCTAAGAAACTACGGAACTTATCTTTCAACCTAGTTATTCATATTCATAATGCATGCATATTAACAAATAATATTATTAATCCTGATCAACGGATGATAACTTTATACAAACACTTCATTATCTTCCGCTCGCTTTTTTTTCTCATCAGTATCTTCTTCCATCTTAGATTTGATTTCCCAAATAGTATTTTCAAATTTACTAGACAACTCTTCACGTTTTTGTTGTTCACTTGCGGCTAAACGTTTGCTTTCTTCCTAATTATGAAATTAGAGATCAACCCTTTTTTTTTTCCTAATAAAATGAGTTTTTCAATGATTAACACAAACCTTAATACGTTTGTTTTCCTTTTGTAATTCACGACAGATATTTTCCAATTTATGTTTCATGGAATTCGTTTTGGACAAGTCACTTTTTGCTAACCACGTTCTTGGAGTTAAATTGACGCGATTCATCCAAGAAGGTCTGTATTAAATATATCTTGGATTATTTACCTGCATCTTTTTCTTTTTGTAATTGTTCATTACGTTTCTTCATTTTAGCATGTTCTCGTTCGAGTCGTTTCATATCTTGAAACTATGTAGTATCAAAAGATCAAGTTTTTTATGATCAAATTACGTTGATCGATCCTAAGATTATTAAATCGAATTACGACTTAAAATTTAAAAAAAAAAAGTAAATTTTTAAGTTCACTTACCAATTCCACATATTTTTGTTGTATTGTATCAAATTTCTCCATTTGATCATCATGAGAATTGATAATTTCCTTCATTTCTTTGCTTGCCTTTTTAACAGCTTTTGCTAAAATTTAGAAATAATTGATCAATTAATAATTTTCAGTAATTAAAAAAGAGATATGAGATGGATTAATAATTAATTTAATTCTGTTATCAATGTCAGATAAAACCTAAAAGAATTATATACCAATGGATTTTTCTTCTTCGTCTTCAATTGACGATTCAGTTTCGAGTTGAGAAATTTTATTTTGAATCATATTATTAAGTTCCTGAGGATCAAGTGGCTTCTTTTTAGAAGACGCGCCATTCTTTTTATTATTAACTGGAGAAGTAGGTGGAGTAGTCTTTGGTGAACTGGCTTTCGTGACTGCTTTTGAAGGTGTAGACGCTTGTTTATCATTCACGTCCGACTGAACGGACTGACTTTCATTAGTATTTTGAGTTTCAGTGGCTGGCATAGCGAATTTATTTGTCTGTCAAGTAGGCGAAGGATAAAATATAATAAAATTTCTTATTTGGAGACGACAAATATATGAAAAAATAGTTTAGATCTTTGAAATGTTGAGCCCCTTCTTTTTTTTTTTTTTTTTTTTTTTAATCTATTATTTATGATGACAATTGATTAGTAAAAATCTATTTATAATCTATATTTATTGTCTCCGTGTGCGATTATTTTAATCTTACCTTATATACACTTAAGATGAATTGACGGAAAGGATCGGATCAAAAATAAAAAATTTTAAAGATTCTATTTCCAGTCAAAAATGAATATCGATATTTGAATGCATCAGTTTTTACGTTTATATAATCTGATTTTTCTCATTCAAATTTATTTTTTGACTAAAATTATGTCATGTTAACGTTAAAACCCGTTATACATATATTTGTATATTTGGCGTAGCTTAAATTTCATCATGATTGGTTTTATTCATTGATCAAGCGAGGCTTTGTAGTGATTTCAGGGGATGATTTATTTGCTTTTGTAATTATTAGTATACATAAATATTTAAAAATTATTCTGCAAGGCTCGCCGATTTAGCTCAGTTGGGAGAGCGTCAGACTGAAGATCTGAAGGTCGTGTGTTCAATCCACACAATCGGCATTATTCACTTCTCTTTTTCAAAAAAAAAAAAATTTTTCAAATTTTGGATAATTTTATAAATCAAAAATCTATTGTCTAAATATTGTCTAAATATATTCTTATGATCGCTATTTCTATATACATTTTTTAAAAAAATAATTTTTCAATTGTTATTTTGCAATATTATGAATTCTCTGGAAAAAATAAGAAAAAAAACTTCTTGTCTTGGCTTTACTATCACGAACTATTTTAATCAACCACACATACTATACTAATTTTCACATACAAAAAAATTGGGTTTCAACTATTGTTACAGCCACCTAACAAAAAATACTTCACAATACTTTTTTTTTTTTTTTGATACTATAACACAAAAGCTAAAGAAAAATGCTGCATATCAAAAGCGTAAGTGTCTTAAAAAAAAAAAAAATGCTAGAATTAAAATCACAATGATAAAAACCAGATTAATTAAATCAGAAATTGAAAAGGGTAAAAAGGAATTTTTAAAAAACATTAAAGAAAAAAAGGGAAACTTAAGTGTTAAAATTGTAAAAAAGGAATTCAATAATCCCATGGTACAAAAAAGAAAAAAAAAAAAAAAAAAAAAGTAAAACAAAAAATTTTTTGTACACACCGTCATCTGACTAAGTTACAAACAAAGTAAAAAAAAAATATAATAATGATACAAACAACACTTTTGATATACACGAAAACCCATTTAAAAAGAAATTAAACAATTGCTTCATCGAATTTTCCTATGCACTACTGGTGGCCTCAATGCCTTTTCTTTGTTCATCGACCAGGTAGGGCACATTTTCCGAATTTTGCTCTTGTTGTGGCTGAGAAGTCGCTTGATATTGTTCTTCAGAATTGCGATAATAATGTTGTGCTTGTTGATATTGTGCAATTACTGCACTGCCAGAATTATTAGGATAGAATTGATGAGCAGGAGCCGAAGGATAATGATGCTGAGGAACGGGAGTCTAAAATAGAAAACCAATTGAATACAAAATTAATAAACAATCATATCAACCATCCCATTTTGATACTTCGTTTGATACTTGGGTGACTATATTTACCCATATTACCTCCACATATTGTTGCTCCAAAGGCATCACTGACGGCACGCCGGTTGACTGTGGCGGCTGTACACGACTGACTCCAGATGAATCTTTAGGAACGGATGTTGTCCATGTCTGTTGAGTAGGAATGTATCCTGGTGCTGAAGTTCCAGCACCAAAAGGAGGCATTATCATATGTTGGGGATGCCAGTAACTGGGTGGTGGGAAGAATGTTGGTTGAGCATTTGAAATAAAGTTTGGATCAATCACTGGTTGCAAGGTAGTTTGAACTGATGATGACGCTCCACTTTGGGAGGACAACGATGCTCTCCTAAAAGCGTGTAAAAAAATTTTTCAAGAATTAATAATACTTTAGAAAAAATTATAAACCCATATTAAAATTTAATATATAATATTTGTTCTTACCGGTCTTTTGCGTCATTATCAGTACTTTGATTATCGATGTTCAACGGTTGAGTTAATAAAGGACCAGTGATAGGCATATATTGTGCTGGAACTGTTGAAGGAGGTGTCTTGTGGAATTCTGTAATTAAACGTTCACCAACAATAGGTTCAACTTCAGTACCATCTCGGCTAATTTTCACCTCTCTATTCGCGTTCCAAGGATTACGGAGGTGGCGCGTACGCATGAATGGAAGTTTTTGCCTACACACGCGAAATAGCCAAATAAAATGAGATAAAGATGCGTAATTGCGAGAAGAGAATGATAGTAATTAGATTTAAAAGTACTCACACTTTAATCCATTCAACTTTAAAAGTAGTTCCCCAATTTCGCGATGGAACATCATCATCACAATCTTCATTTTCCTCATCTTGAGATTTTTTTAATCGGGGTTTCATATCCTCCTGGACTGATGAAGGTCGTGATGATGAAGCCGCTAAAGCAGCTTCATCAATGGGTGTCCATTGTACAGTATCTGTTGTCTCTTTGCTAATTGGACTCACCATCCTATAAATCAACGGATTAAATATTGAAAAGGTTGTAATTTATAAATTCATTCAATAATGTTGTTAGTTCTCACTTTGCGTAGCCATAAAACTCGCCGCTTTTATTAGCACTGAAAATAAGATACACATTTTCAGCACTCTATAAAAAGGAACAGATAAATAATAAGTAGGTTTTTAAGTAATTATAAACTCAATAACTGAAGCTAATGAAATATTAAGGTCGTACTTTAAAAGCTTTATTCAATGCTGCTTCATTGTGCGGTTGAGTAGCCCAAAATCCACTTTTAACAGAAATATCAAGATCATCTTGGGTCAACGATTTAAGAATGAAATATCTATTAAGTGATGAAGGTTTGGCGGATGAAACTGACGAAGCAGGAGACATCGAAGCAACTGAAGACTGTCTGATCCGTTGTCGTGGAGGTAATGATGACCTTCGTGATCTAGAAGAAGTTGTAGAACCTGCTTCAGAAGGAGTAGGAGGAGGAGTGTTATCTGAAGCTAAATCTGATGAGGTTTCTGATGATTTTAACTTCAGATCCGCAGGGGTTTGCTAAGATTATCATAAAAAAATAGCATCACTATGACAAATATAACTAAATATGAAGTAAAATAGAAACACATTACGAAGTTACCTTTCTTGGTCGACAAACAAGTTTAATGCCTTTGAACTCTGAAAGAACCAATGTATATCATGAGAAAATATCCGGTACATTTAGAAAATACAACAAATAATCACGTACCGCTTTCATTATATTTACAAGCGGCCTGCATGACGGCATCATGTGTCTTGTAATTCACGAAGGCACAATTCGACTTTTTGATAAGAAACACGCTCTAAAATAGAAATTTAACATGATTAATTATAAATAAGTCTATCATAATAATAAGATATAATAAATAAAAGTAATAATAATAATAATAATAATAATAATAAATAATAATAATAAATAATAATGACAAAATAATAAAAATAAAAATAATAATAATAATAATAATAATAATAATAATAATAATAATAATAATAATAAATAATAATAATGATGATGATAGCAATGATAATACTAAATAGTAAATAATAATAAATCTTTAATAACCTCCATATTTTCATCTGTGAAAAAATCCATCAATTCTTCATGGGTAGTAGAATCAGGTAAATTTCCGACCCAAAGGGCCTTATCCAATTGTTTGGGTTTCTTCTGCTGACTTATTCTTGGAGTATGTTGTGGACCTAAATCAGGGGTTCTGGCCTGATCCAAAGAGCTTCTTCGAGAAGAGAAACCTGAATCACCACCAGCAGTACTAGGAGGGTTAAGATATCTTGCAGAAAGTGATTGAGGTGGGATTAAAGGAGGGCTATGAAAAGATGGATGAATAGGAGGTATAACGGATATTGGGTGATAAGGATAAATATTCGATCTGACAAAATGCTGAGCAGGCGGTGGTATTTGTGGAGGACGACCAAATCTGTACTGAGGATCGTAGTAGTATTGTCCATTATTAGAAAAAAACGCAGGAGTAAAATATTGAGGTGAAACCGGTATGAAAGGAGTGTTAGGACTCAAATTTTGATACATCTGGGGAATCTCATCATATGCTGGCCCGGTACCATTAGAACAGGAATTGTTAGTATTGTTCGAGACGGTGGTCGTATTGGAGGAGCCAGCGGCAGAAGCGGAGGATGAGGACGCGGGATTACTGATTTTTGTTGTGGTCATGTTAATTAAAGAACTAAACAAGATTGAATTGTGGTGTTGATACATAGCAGAACAAGATTGGGTTTCAACAACCTTTGAGAATTACCGTTGATACTCTGCTTCCGAAATACCGAGGTCTCATTTTCTTGATCATATTCAGTAACACCATTATTAACATTACTGCCACCAACATTATTTTTTGAGCCACCCAATGGAATATCATCGGTACCAGAAATACTGTTAGTCGTAGTAATGTCTTTATCTGACAAGCTCTGATGTGCATTTACAGGAATTGAAATGTCTTTATCAATTTTCTCACGCTGACGTCTAGCTACGTTCGCTTTTATCTCTTGGCTTGAATCAGCTGTCGAACTAGGTTCGTTTTGTGATTGTTGTCCCTGAAAACTTGGATGGGTCGAAGACGCGGTCTTTTTGGGGGCAGTTGTGGTGGTAGGTACATTTTCTCGCGACTCCTTAGTTGTCGATGTCGATGTAGTCTGTTGCGATTGAACTTCAGTCAACTCCTCTCGAGACATGATATACTATAGCGTCGTAGCGTAAAAGTAATACTTCTGAATATTTAAATAACTGCCCTTTTTTCGATATAATAGTTATTTATCTTTAATACTTATAAACACGAACAAATAAAAAGAACACGACCTTTTCTGCCTATACAAAATAATAAACAGAACGCTACCTTCGAAATTTTAAAAAGAAAAAAAAAGAAAGAAAAAAAATTATACAAAAAATAATAAAAAAGTATTTACAAAAAAAAAAGGGAATTCAAGGAAGATATGACAAGCTTCGTTTTCAGCTTGTTACCAGGTTGGCCAGCTGAATTAAAAGAAGCAGAAAAAACGACACAAAAAAGAAAAATCAAGAAACAGCTTTGAAGAGGCCAACTATAAAATTTTTTTTTTCCTTGTAATGAATGAGTAGGTACGGGCTAGCCGAATTGCTGGCCTGAGACAAATATCATAAAGAAAAGAAAAGGAAAAAATTTTTATTTGTGTTCACGTTGGAAGTTCATTCAACGGTTGATATACGGCAGACACACAATAGACGTATGTGCGTTAACTTTATTTATAACAGCAGTCACTCTGTCTCACCTGCTTTGTATATTCTCAATTGTAAAATAATATACAATTTTATTAATCACTCAATCACCTTTATTTCTCACTCCGCGTTCATATACCGCCGAACTTTAGCAATCGCTTACCTACTCATCAATTTATTGCGTACACACGTATGTGACAGAGACTATCTTATTATATAAACATCTTGACAGACAACACCTTAATTAATCATGAGCCAGACTATAATCTCCGAAAATCAAATGAGCTCTGAAATTTCTTTAAAAAGGGTTTTTTATTATTTTGGTAACTCTGCATGAAAATGATGAAAAATATTACTCTTTTTTCATCGGTCTGAAGATGCGAATTAAGAATTACAAAGAAATAATAAACACGAATAGATTCTTAGTAAAGGTACATATTGGTCTCTCATCACTAATTCACTTCTCTTATCATAAAATTCCCCATTTGTTCATGCTGATCGGTTCATTTTGCTTTGAAATATTCAAACATTTTGACATATCTCCTGTTGTCAATAGTATGTACACAAACATAAAACCTTGTGCCAGTTTTTTTTTTTTTCTTTCTGTTTGTTGCTACTTCTTCTGCATGAACATTTATAAACATAGTTCCACCAAACATTTCTTTATTCGAATATTAACAAAGAAATCATGTGATTATGCATGACTTCCTAATTATATAATCTAGTTTTTTATTAATTGTTCTTGAGCGCGAAAGGCTCAAAATTTACGTTTTTGATGCATTCGACTATAAACTTACTTTTTTGATGCATTTGCGTAAATATCTTAAAAGATGTATCAAAAACGTAATTTTTATGCCTGCACGCGTGTCTATATTCGTACTTTAGTGTAATAAAAAATATACATACGCGTTTGTGTAACGTGACGATCATATGGGGTATTATCTATTAAAACAGCCCTTTTTTACATATATTTCATTTTGAGATAATTGAGTTTAATCACT